AAACATTGATGAGATTACCAATAAAGCAAGTGAACTGGCAGAAAAATAGAAAATATAATAGGACTCATGGAAACAAAGTTGTCAGGAGTCATAACAGATGCTGTGTTTCCAAATGACTACTATATAGTAAGGAAAGAGAGGGAAGGGAGAGGAGGTGGAGGAGTGGCCCTGCTGATAAGGAAGGACTGGAGTTTTGATGAGATGAAAATTTCGGACTGTGACGGGTTCAGAGATTACATAACAAGAACTATAACAATGGGTGGACCTAAGATAATAGTGGCAGTCATTTACAACCCTCCTCTAAATGACAGAAGACCTAGACAGGAGTTTGATAGGAACAACATGGCAACCATTAATATAATAGAGAGAACAGCTTCAGTTGCCTGCAGGAATGGCTCCAGACTCTTAATCATGGGAGATTTCAACCATGGAAAGATAGACTGGGAGAATGGATAGCCACATGGTGGTGTAGATACGTGGAGAGCTAAACTCTTGGAAGTGGCAACAAGGAACTTTCTGAGCCAGAATGTCAAGGAACCCACAAGAGTGAGAGGCAATGATGAACCAGCTAGACTCGACTTGATATTCACCCTGAATGAGTCAGAAATAAGGGAAGTCAAAATTGAAACCCTCATAGGAATGAGTGACCACAGTGTACTGACCTTTGAGTACTTGGTGGAGGTAGGGATAACCTATCCAAGGATGGGAGCAGAGGGAAAAAGACTGAATTACCGAAGAGGAAAATATGACGAGATGAGGAACTTCCTCAGGGGAATACCATGGGAAACAGAACTTAGAGACAAGAATGTGCAGGACATGATGGATTTTGTCACCCAGAAGTGCCAGGAAGCTGCAGACAGGTTTATCCCCGTCCAAAAGGAGAAAAACGAAAAACAACAGAAAACCCATGATTCAACCAGGAATGCAAGGCAGCGAAGCAACTGAGTAAAAGAACATGGAGAAACTACAGAAATAACAGAACACCGGAGAGCAGGGAGAGATACCAGAGGGCCAGAAATGAGTACCTCAGAGTGAGGAGGGAAGCAGAGAGACAGTTTAAAAATGATATAGCGAGTAAAGCCAAGACCCAACCAAAGCTGCTCCACAGACACATCAGGAGGAAAACAGCAGTGAAAGAACAAGTGATGAAACTGAGAAAAGGGGAGAACAGATACACAGAGAAACACAAGGTGTGTGAAGAACTCAACAAGAGATTCCAGGAGGTCTTCACAATAGAACAAGGACAAGCCCTTGCAATAAATGAGGAGGCGGCAAACCAAGCAACCTTGGAGTAATTTGACCTCACCAGTGATGAGGTCAAGGGTGTCTGCTGGAGCTGGATGTGACAAAGGCTGTTGGGCCTGACAGAATCTCACTATGGATACTAAAGGAAGGTGCAGAAGCACTAAGTGTGCCACTCTCTATGGTGTATAACAGGTCACTGGAAACAGGAGACTTACCAGAAAGTTGGAAGACAGCTAACGTAGTCCCAGTATACAAGAAGGGTGACAGTCAAGAGGCACTGAACTACAGTCCAATTTCCCTAACTTGTATACCATGCAAGGTGATGGAGAAGATTGTGAGGAAAAGGCTCGTAGAGCATCTGGAGGGAAATAACTTTCTAACGCACCACCAACATGGGTTCAGGGATGGTAAATCGTGCCTCACAGGTTTAATAGAATTCAATGACCAGGTAACAAAAATTAGGCAGGAAAGAGAAGGGTGGGCCGACTGCATTTTCCTGGACTGCCAAAAAGCCTTTAACACAGTACCCCATAAAAGGCTGTTAAAAAAGTTGGAGCATCATGCAGGTGTAGAAGGGAAGGTGCTCCAGTGGATAAGGGAGTACGTAAGCAACAGGAAACAGCGAGTAACGGTGAGGGGGGAGACATCAGAGTGGCGAGATGTCACCAGCGGAGTCCCACAGGGCTCAGTACTTGGACCCATCCTGTTTCTAATATAAGTAAACGATCTTCCGGAGGGTATAGACTTGTTTCTCTCAATGTTTGCTGATGATGCAAAAATTATAAGAAGAATCAAGACGGATGAAAATAGACAGAGACTACAGGATGACCTGGACAAACTGGAGGAATGGTCTAGAAAATGGCTACTAAAGTTCAACTCGGGAAAGTGTAAGGTGATGAAATTAGGCGAAGGGAGCAGGAGGCTGAACACAAGGTATCATCTGGGAGGTGAAATCCTGCAAGAGTCAAATAGAGAGAAAGATCTGGGGGTTGATATCACACCGAACCTGTCCCCAGAGGCCCACATCAAAAGAATATCATCAGCGGCATATGCTAGACTGGCCAACATAAGAATTGCCTTTAGAAACTTGCGTAAGAAACTTGTACGACCTCCCCAACAAACAAATACGAGCTCTCCCGACACACACATAGAATCTTCCAACACATATACAAGCCCCCAACACACACATAAAAGCCTACAACACACATACAACCCCCCAACACACACACATATATACAACTCCCCAACACACATACATAAAACCCTCCAACACACACATGTACAACCCCCCCAACACACACACATTTATAACCCCCCAACACACACATACAACCCCCAACACACACATGTACAACCCCTAATACACACATACAACCCCCCAACACACACATGTACTACCTCCCACACACACACACATACAACCCCCAACACACACATATACAACCCCCCATCACACACATACAACCCCCCAACACACACATATACAACCCCCCCATCACACACATGTACAACCCCCCAACACACACACATACAACCCCCAACACACACATGTACTACCTCCCAACACACACACATACAACCCCAACACACACATATACAACCCCCCATCACACACATACAACCCCCCAACACACACATATACAACCCCCCTAACACACACATATACAACCCCCCAACACACACATATACAACCCCCCAACACACATGTACAACCCCCCCAACACACACTTAATCAACCCCCCAAAACACACATATACAACCCCCCAACACACACATACAACCCCCAACACACACATACAACCCCCCAACACACACACATATATACAACTCCCCAACACACATACATAAAACCCTCCAACACACACATGTACAACCCCCCCATCACACACATGTACAACCCCCCATCACACACATACAACCCCCCCAACACACACATATACAACCCCCCCAACACACACATATACAACCCCCCAACACACACATATACAACCCCCCAACACACACATGTACTACCTCCCAACACACACATATACAACCCCCCAACACACACATGTACTACCTCCCAACACACACATATACAACCCCCCAACACACACATATACAACCCCCCAACACACACATGTACTACCTCCCAACACACACACATACAACACCACAACACACACATGTACTACCTCCCAACACACACACATACAACCCCCAACACACACATACAACCCCCCAACACACACATATACAACCCCCAACACACACATGTACTACCTCCCAACACACACATATACAACCCCCCAACACACATGTACAACCCCCCCAACACACACTTAATCAACCCCCCAAAACACACATATACAACCCCCCCAACACACACATATACAATCCCCCAACACACACATATACAATCCCCCAACACACACATACAACCCCCCAACACACACATACAACCCCCAACACACACACATACAACCCCCAACACACACATACAACCCCCCAACACACACATACATCCCCCCAACACACACATATACAACCCCCCATCACACACATACAACCCCCCCAACACACACATATACAACCCCCCCAACACACACATATACAACCCCCCAAAACACACATATACAACCCCCCAACACACACATGTACTACCTCCCAACACACACATGTACTACCTCCCAACACACACAAATACAACCCCCCAACACACACATGTACTACCTCCCAACACACACATATACAACCCCCCAACACACACAAATACAACCCCCCAACACACACATGTACTACCTCCCAACACACACATATACAACCCCCCAACACACACATGTACTACCTCCCAACACACACATATACAACCCCCCAACACACATGTACAACCCCCCCAACACACACATAATCAACCCCCCAAAACACACATATACAACCCCCCCCAACACACACACATATACAATCCCCCAACACACACACACACATACAACCCCCAACGCACACATACAACCCCCCAACACACACATACAACCCCCCAACACAAACATACAACCCCTCCATCACACACATACAACCCCCAACACACACACATACAACCCCCAACACACACATACAACCCCCCCAACACACACATACAACCCCCAACACACACACATACAACCCCCAACACACACATACAACCCCCCCAACACACACATATACAACCCCCCAACACACACATGTACAACCCCCCAACACACACATGCACAACCTCCCAACACACACATGTACTACCCCCCCCAAGACACATGCACAGCCCCCCAACACACACACATACAACCCCCAACACACACACATACAACCCCCAACACACACACATACAACCCCCAACACACACATACAACCCCCAACACACACATGTACTACCCCCCCAAGACACATGCACAGCCCCCCAACACACACACAATACACTTAAATACAATATTAACCAACCATTAAGTATCACTCAAACCCCAGGCCGTCACTAGGAGAGATACACAGCATACCTCGCAGTATACTCACAAGGAGTGAGTATACCTTCCTAATTGTTGACTATATTCAGGAGAAATGTATACCTTGTCAGGTGATCAGTATGAGCTCTAATGGTGGGCCGAATATTTATTTCCTGCGATAGATCTAGAGGCCAACAGCAAACTCGAACGTCCAGTAGACGCCGCTGTTGGGTAGTTAGCGCCTTGTGGCCGGCCCGGCGGCGCTGAGTCATACACCAGCACCGGCCAGTTGCTTCCTGTGAGTTGTGGGTGGCGGGTGTGTGGTGGCACCCTCCTGTGTTGAGTACTGTGTGGTGACACTCTCCTGTGTTGACTACTGTGTTGTGACACACTCCTGTGTTGACTACTGTGTGGTGACACCCTCCTGTGATGACTACTGTGTGGTGACACCCTCCTGCGATGACTACTGTGTGGTGACACCCTCCTGTGTTGACTACTGTGTGGTGACACTCTCCTGTGTTGACTACTGTGTGTTGACTACTGTGTGGTGACACCCTCCTGTGTTGACTACTGTGTGGTGACACTCTCCTGTGTTGACTACTGTGGTGTGACACCCTCCTGTGTTGACTACTGTGTAGTGACACCCTCCTGTGTTGACTACTGTGTGGTGACACCCTCCTGTGTTGACTACTGTGTGGTGACACTCTCCTGTGTTGACTACTGTGTGGTGACACTCTCCTGTGTTGACTACTGTGTGGTGACACCTTCCTGTCTTGACTACTGTGTGGTGACACTCTCCTGTCTTGACTACTGTGTGGTGACACTCTCCTGTGTTGACTACTGTGTGGTGACACCCTCCTGTGTTGACTACTGTGTGGTGGCACTCTCCTGTGTTGACTACTGTGTGGTGACACTCTCCTGTGTTGACTACTGTGTGGTGACACTCTCCTGTGTTGACTACTGTGTGGTGACACTCTCCTGTGTTGACTACTGTGTGGTGACACTCTCCTGTGTTGACTACTGTGTGGTGACACTCTCCTGTGTTGACTACTGTGTGGTGACACTCTCCTGTGTTGACTACTGTGTGGTGACACCCTCCTGTGTTGACTACTGTGTGGTGACACCCTCCTGTGTTGACTACTGTGTGGTGACACCCTCCTGTGTTGACTACTGTGTGGTGACACCCTCCTGTGTTGACTACTGTGTGGTGACACCCTCCTGTGTTGACTACTGTGTGGTGACACCCTCCTGTGTTGCCTACTGTGTGGTGACACTCTCCTGTGTTGACTACTGTGTGGTGACACCCTCCTGTGTTGACTACTGTGTGGTGACACTCTCCTGTGTTGACTACTGTGTGGTGACACCCTCCTGTGTTGACTACTGTGTGGTGGCACTCTCCTGTGTTGACTACTGTGTGGTGACACTCTCCTGTGTGGACTACTGTGTGGTGACACTCTCCTGTCTTGACTACTGTGTGGTGACACTCTCCTGTGTTGACTACTGTGTGGTGACACTCTCCTGTGTTGACTACTGTGTGGTGACACCCTCCTGTGTTGACTACTGTGTGGTGACACTCTCCTGTGTTGACTACTGTGTGGTGACACCCTCCTGTGATGACTACTGTGTGGTGACACCCTCCTGTGTTGACTACTGTGTGGTGATACCCTCCTGTGTTGACTACTGTGTGGTGACACACTCCTGTGTTGACTACTGTGTGGTGACACTCTCCTGTGTTGACTACTGTGTGGTGACACTCTCCTGTGTTGACTACTGTGTGTTGACTACTGTGTGGTGACACCCTCCTGTGTTGACTACTGTGTGGTGACACACTGCTGTGTTGACTACTGTGTGGTGACACTCTCCTGTGTTGACTACTGTGTGGTGACACCCTCGTGTGTTGACTACTGTGTGGTGACACCCTCCTGCGATGACTACTGTGTGGTGACACCCTCCTGTGTTGACTACTGTGTGGTGACACCCTCCTGTGTTGACTACTGTGTGTTGACTGTGTGGTGACACTCTCCTGTGTTGACTACTGTGTGGTGACACTCTCCTGTGTTGACTACTGTGTGGTGACACCCTCTTGTGTTGACTACTGTGTGGTGACGCTCTCCTGTGTTGACTACTGTGTGTTGACTACTGTGTGGTGACACCCTCCTGTGTTGACTACTGTGTGGTGACACTCTCCTGTGTTGACTACTGTGTGGTGACACTCTCCTGTGATGACTACTGTGTGGTGACACTCTCCTGTGTTGCCTACTGTGTGGTGACACTCTCCTGTGTTGCCTACTGTGTGGTGACACCCTCCTGTGTTGACTACAGTGTGGTGACACCCTCCTGTGATGACTACGGTGGGGTGACACCCTCCTGTGTTGACTACTGTGTGGTGACACTCTCCTGTGTTGACTACTGTGTGGTGACACTCTCCTGTGTTGACTACTGTGTGGTGACACCCTCCTGCGATGACTACTGTGTGGTGACACTCTCCTGTCTTGACTACTGTGTGGTGACACTCTCCTGTGTTGACTACTGTGTGTTCACTGTGTGGTGACACTCTCCTGTGTTGACTACTGTGTGGTGACACTCTCCTGTGTTGACTGCTGTGTGGTGACACTCTCCTGTGTTGACTACTGTGTGGTGACACCCTCCTGTGTTGACTACTGTGTGGTGACACTCTCCTGTGTTGACTACTGTGTGGTGACACTCTCCTGTGTTGACTACTGTGTGGTGACACTCTCCTGTGTTGACTACTGTGTGTTGACTGTGTGGTGACACTCTCCTGTGTTGACTACTGTGTGGTGACACTCTCCTGTGTTGACTACTGTGTGGTGACACTCTCCTGTGTTGACTACTGTGTGGTGACACTCTCCTGTGTTGACTACTGTGTGGTGACACTGTGTGGTGACACTCCTGTGTTGACTACTGTGTGGTGACACCCTCCTGTGTGACTACTGTGTGGTGACACCCTCCTGGTGACACTGTGTGGTCTCCTGTGTTGACTACTGTGTGGTGACACTGTGTGACTACTGTGTGGTGACACTCTCCTGTGTTGACTACTGTGTGGTGACACTCTCCTGTGTTGACTACTGTGTGGTGACACTCTCCTGTGTTGACTACTGTGTGGTGACACCCTCCTGTGTTGACTCCTGTGTTGACTGTGTGTGGTGACACTCTCCTGTGTTGACTACTGTGTGGTGACACTCTCCTGTGTTGACTACTGTGTGGTGACACCCTCCTGTGTTGACTACTGTGTGGTGACACTCTCCTGTGTTGACTACTGTGTGGTGACACTCTCCTGTGTTGACTGTGTGGTGACACCCTCCTGTGTTGACTACTGTGTGGTGACACTCTCCTGTGTTGACTACTGTGTGGTGACACTCTCCTGTGTTGACTACTGTGTGGTGACACCCTCCTGTGTTGACTACTGTGTGGTGACACCCTCCTGTGTTGACTACTGTGACACCCTCCTCCCGTGTTGACTACTGTGTGGTGACACCCTCCTGGTACCCTCCTGTGTTGACTACTGTGTGGTGACACCCTCCTGTGTTGACTACTGTGTGGTGACACCCTCCTGTGTTGACTACTGTGTGGTGACACTCTCCTGTGTTGACTACTGTGTGGTGACACACTACTGTGTGTTGACTACTGTGTGGTGACACCCTCCTGTGTTGACTGCTGTGTGGTGACAATCTCCTGTGTTGACTACTGTGTGGTGACACCCTCCTGTGTTGACTACTGTGTGTTGACACCCTCCTGTGTTGACTACTGTGTTGACTACTGTGTCGAGAGACCCTCCACTCCCGTGTGGACTGCTGTGTCGAGAGACCCTCCCCTCCCGTGTGGACTGCTGTGTCGATAGACCCCCCCTCCCGTGTGGACTGCTGTGTCGAGAGACCCCCCTCCCATGTGGACTGCTGTGTCGATAGACCCCCCCCCCCTCCCGTGTGGACTGCTGTGTCGAGAGACCCCCCCCCCTCCCGTGTGGACTGCTGTGTCGAGAGACCCCCCCCCCTCCCGTGTGGACTGCTGTGTCGAGAGACCCCCCCCCCTCCTGTGTGGACTGCTGTGTCGAGAGACCCCCCCCCTCCCGTGTGGACTGCTGTGTCGAGAGACCCCCCCCTCCCGTGTGGACTGCTGTGTCGAGAGACCCCCCTCCCGTGTGGACTGCTGTGTCGAGAGACCCCCCCTCCCATGTGGACTGCTGTGTCGAGAGACCCCCCTCCCGTGTGGACTGCTGTGTCAAGAGACCCCCCTCCCGTGTGGACTGCTGTGTCGAGAGACCCCCCTCCCGTGTGGACTGCTGTGTCGAGAGACCCCCCCTCCCGTGTGGACTGCTGTGTCGAGAGACCCCCCCCCCTCCCGTGTGGACTGCTGTGTCGAGACCCCCCCCCTCCCGTGTGGACTGCTGTGTCGAGACCCCCCCCTCCCGTGTGGACTGCTGTGTCGAGAGACTCCCCCTCCCGTGTGGACTGCTGTGTCGAGAGACCCCCCCCCCTCCCGTGTGGACTGCTGTGTCGAGACCCCCCTCCCGTGTAGACTGCTGTGTCGAGACCTCCCCTCCCGTGTGGACTGCTGTGTCGAGAGACCCCCCCCCCCCCCTCCCGCGTGGACTGCTGTGTCGAGAGACCCCCCCCCCCCCATCCCGCGTGGACTGCTGTGTCGAGAGACCCCCCTCCCGTGTGGAATGCTGTGTCGAGAGACCCCCCCCTCCCGTGTGGACTGCTGTGTCGAGAGACCACCCCCCTCCCATATGGACTGCTGTGTCGAGACTCCCCCCTCCCGTGTGGACTGCTGTGTCGAGAGACCCCCCTCCCGTGTGGACTGCTGTGTCGAGAGACCCCCCTCCCGTAAGGACTGCTGTGTCGAGACCCCCCCTCCCGTGTGGACTGCTGTGTCGAGACCCTCCCCTCCCGTGTGGACTGCTGTGTCGAGAGACCCCCCTCCCGTATGGACTGCTGTGTCGAGAGACTCCCCTCCCGTGTAGACTGCTGTGTCGAGACCTCCCCTCCCGTGTGGACTGCTGTGTCGAGAGACTCCCCCTCCCGTGTGGACTGCTGTGTCGAGAGACCCCCCCCCCTCCCGTGTGGAATGCTTTGTCGAGGGACCCCCCCCCCTCCCGTGTGGAATGCTGTGTCGAGGGACCCCCCCTCCCGTGTGGACTGCTGTGTCGAGAGACCCCCCCTCCCGTGTGGACTGATGTGTCGAGAGACCCCCCCCCCTCCCGTGTGGACTGCTGTGTCGAGAGACCCCCCCCGTGTTGACTGCTGTGTCGAGAGACCCCCTCCCGTGTGGACTGCAGTGTCGAGGCACCCACCCCCTCCCGTGTGGACTGCTGTGT